TCCCCTCGCCTGCTGCCCGGGGACTCCCTTCGCTTGCTGCTCGGGGACTCCCATTGCCTGCTGTTGGTGGACTCCCTCCTTTTCCTTCAATTGTTCCTCCGCGCGCGTGCTGCGCGAAGGCGCCTTCGTGCTCGGTGGAGGAGCCACCGGAACTTTGTCGTCATCCATCCACTCGGACATCGCGGTACTCCGGGTCCGAGTGGTCTGGTCACCGCCAAGCAAGATGCTGCCCGGCTTGAGGGGAGCGGCACCCGCTGTCTTTCTCTTCTTCGAGGCCGGCTCGTCTACCGCTGCCCTCTTTCCCCGGACTTTCTCCGACACCGGGGATGGACTCTCCGATGAGATGCTAACGGCTCCCTCCTCAAGCTACGTTGGTGGCCGGACGTCTACTGCATGCGGCCAATTGCCCCTCGGCACGCCCGAGAAGTACACCGATCTTTCCTGCAAATGGATCTTCGCACAAGTGAATTAGTCCACTGCTTGGCAATGACAAAAAATAAAAAATAAAAAGCATCAGGAACACACAATTGAGATATTTACCTGAGGAGGTAGATTCTTGCAGTGAAAGGGTCTCGTCTGCCCTGGCAAGTTGAACGAGGCAAGTGGAGCGAATAGCTCTGCGGCCTGCTCCTGCACAATGTCCCTCGATAGCATCTCCGTCCTCTCTCGGGTACCATCGGTCTCCCCTTTGAAATCAAAGACTGCGTGGGCCCTCTCCTTGTAGGGCTGGACGCGGCACACTATGAAGCTCGCCGCCACCAGTCCATCGTTGGTCTTCACGCCCTTTATTAAGCCAAGGAGCTCCCTCACTTGCTCCATGTCAGCACTGTTTGGTTTCTCCGACCAGCTCTTTTGGCTCTCCAGGAAGTGGTCAACGTCGCAGCGGATTGCAATGTGGCTTTGCTTCATGTAGAACCACCTGGCGTTCCACCCCTTCAGCGAAGTATTCAGCGGTACAGTGATGTACTCGCTCGCCAGCCTGTCCCGGAGTTGCAAATATACCCTGTCGACCACCTTGGAACCGCCGCCGCCTTTCTTCTTCAACCAGAACATGTGTCTAAAGAGGTTGAAGTGCGGAAGAATCCCCAGATACGCTTCGCAAAAGTGGATAAAGATTGAGATGTGCAAGATGGTGTTTGGGTGGAGATTGCATAGACTAAGTGCCCAGAACTCCAATAGATCCCTCAAAAAAGGATGAATAGGAAATCCCAACCCTCGCCAGAAATAATCCTCAAACACCACTACTTCATCAGTATGAGGCATTGGGAAGGGCTCACCGCTGGCTGGCCGCCATCCGGCGGTGACGCGGTTAGGAAGAATGCCCACCTCTACCAATTTGTTGAGCTCCGCCTCTCCCGTGCGCGACGGCACCCACTCTTCATCACGGCTGGCTCTAACGCTCGCCTTCTTTGGGCTTGCTTTCTTTGGGTTCGCAGCTCCCCTTTTAGACGCCATCTCTCGGATCCGGATGGTGACTGGCGTGGAAGCGCGCGTGGATGTGGATCTAGAAATGCAAGGGCTGAGGAGGAAGATGAAATGGCAAAGTGGCAAAGGTGGGAGCGCGGGGTGCGGCGGCGCAGTTATAAAGCACTCCCCCCCACCCTTTCGCATTCGAGGGATTTTGGGAAACCACTCCCACGATTTGCGCCTCTCCGAATTCTCCGCAACAGCAAGGTGGGCCATTACCTGGGCTTTCGCGCAACCGCGGCCCGTATCGCCGATTTATCTCTGTAATTTGTTACGGCTCGCCGAATATTCACCGATTTCTTCGCCAACCGTTACGGCTTAGTAATTACTAATGTACAACCATTGCTCCGGTACTTTCTCCGATTTATTTTTTCCAAGATTTCCTCTTGTAGCTCAGGGACTGCGTTAGCATTACGTCTCGGTTCCTCACCGTATTGGGGATTTTTCTTCAGTTGACTATTGTTTCTGACCCTGGCACCACGTGACCACGCCACCTACTGTCAGGCTTGGGGACTAAGTGGGTAAACTTTACCTTGTGGTGAATGTGTTTTTTCTCACCTCGGGGCTACGCCCGGGGACTGGCTGCCTGCTCGACTGGTCTTTTACTATTCTTCTACTTTGGACCCTGGCACCACATGACTACGTCATCTACTGCCAGGTTCGGAGACTAAGTGGGCACACTTCACCTTGCGGTGAGTGTGTTTGCTTTAATCTAGAAGACTCCGCGCCTCTTGAAGCTAAAGAAGACTATCTCCCTTTCTCGTGGTCAGACTCTAAGTGGGCACACTTGGTCCACTGCGAAGAATTTTTTTATTCTGAACTTGAGCTCCTTACACCCTTATGGCAAGCCGTACTTGGGTTACACTACTCGGCGACGGTTCACGATGCTCGGCGACGGTTCACACTGCTCGGCGATGGTTCACGCTACTCGACAACTGCTCACAACTGCTCGGCAACTTATCACGGTGGTCGGACCATGAGTTTGACTGCTCGGCTTTATTCGCACCTGCTCGGACAAGCTCAAGACGGCGTTGCACAACAGGTACAAGGCGCTCGGGGACTAACTGTGGGGGTACGACCTCGGATACCCACGACAGACCACATGGGCTGCGCCCCCAGGGCCGGCCTAGCTCACAAAACGAAGCCTGTGCGGGGCACGATGCTGCTCGGTGCCTTCCGCAAGGCACCGAGAAGATATCCTGAAGATACTACGAGATATGTTATGATACGTATAATTTCATGATTCCTGTAATCTGTTATTATTTTCTGGTTATCTATCAAATCTAACCGACTTGTAACCCTGCCCTCCAGACTATATAAGGCGGTGGAGACCCCCTCCAAACACACGTAATATCATACGATAGCCAATACAATCCAACAGACCACAAGAGTAGGGTATTACGTCATACTGACGGTCTGAACCTGTCTAACTCGTATGTCTCTATTGCCTTTTTATTCTTACACATCTCTCTGCCGATCAATCTATCTTCGTGGGATATCTCTCGGAGAACTGCCAACCATATTATGCGACACAAACCTTTCGAAGGATTCGTTGTTCGTGTGGTTGCCGGACCATGAAACAACTTTTGCTACCCCATGACTCGTCGATCAGTGGCGGCATTACCTCCTGCAAAATGAGTTCTTCGTCAGCCTCATCCATCTCAATGAGCACCCCATGGCAATAGCGAGTCTTTATCAAGCTTTTGGGCCTCCATTATCGCATTGTTTATCGCCGTGGTGCAGAGAATGGTGGCTGACGCCCTGTTTCGTCGCCGTCACTCAGAGGATCTCATGGCCCTATCGGCGCCTTCACATGACTGGCTTTCTCAGTTATCAGAGTGGTACCCAACAGACCCTTAGGCATCTAGGTTACTGACTCAGCTGGCTCTGGACCCTGTGTCTCGTCCGCCTTTTTCTCTTCACAGGGGCTCATCCGTTTCAAGAACAGGATCTGGTTGGGATCTAATCGGGCGCTGCACGCTACGGTCCTGTCTGCCTTTCATGATAGCCCAGTGGGAGGACATTCTGGAGCACCAGCTACTTACCAGCGGCTGAAACATCTGTTTTATTGGCCCTCTGTGAAGTCAGATGTTCTTAAACATGTGCAATCCTGCTCTACTTACATTCAGGCCAAGCCGGACCGGTCTAGCTATCCCGGGTTGTTGCAACCACTTCCAGTGTCTACTGCCACTTGGGATGTCACCTCAATGGATTTTATCGGGGGATTGCCGCAATCGGGGTCCTCCAATGCAATTTTGGTGGTTGTTGACAAGTACTCCAAGTACGCGCATTTCATGCCGCTTCGCCATCCATTCCAGGCAGCGGGAGTAGCCAAGCTTTTCATGGACAACGTATATAAGCTTCACGGCCTGCCGTCAGTATTCATCTCGGATCGTGACAGAATCTTCACAAGTAAGTTCTGGCAATCCTTGTTCAAGTTGGCTGGTACATCACTGCATATGACTTCAGCTTATCAGCCGCAAACTAATGGTCAAACCGAGCGTGTCAATCAATGTTTGGAGACATTCCTCCACCGTTTTGTCAATGCTTGCCCTGCGAGGTGGACTCACTGGCTTTCTTTGGCGGAGTACTGGTATAACACCAATAGTCATTCTACGCTTGGGCGATCCCCGTTCGAGGTCCTCTACGGCTTTCCTCCGCGCCACCTGGATGTGCCTTCAGCTGCCTCCTCTTTGCCGGAGCTGTCTAAGTGGCTGGAACCTGGAAGAACGTGAGTGGATGGTGCAGCTGGTCCGCCAACATCTGCTACGCGCCCAGGCCCGCATGAAGCGACAAGCCGATAAGCGCCGTTCGGAGCGTTCATTCGAAGTGGGTGATATGGTCTTCGTCAAGCTTCAGCCATATATTCAATCATCGGTGGCCCGGCGTGCCCACCAGAAACTGTCATTCCGTTTCTTCGGACCATACCGTGTGCTAGCAAAAATTGGCGCGGTGGCCTATCGGCTAGAACTCCCTCCATCAGCGGCGGTGCACCCCGTATTCCACGTTTCGCAACTGAAGGCTTCGGCAGGAAATCAGGTGGTCTCGTCTGCACTTCCTAATGACTTGGTTGAGTTTCAGGTCCCGGATCGTATCCTTCAGAATCGCTGGACCGCTGGCTCCCACCCGGTTCAGCAGGTGCTGGCCCAGTGGTCACAAATGCCGGCGTCGCTTGCAACCTGGGAATCTCTGGAAGAACTTCGTCGCCCCAGGGCCCCTGCCTGGGGACATGCAGGTTCCAAAGCTTTAGGGGATGTCAGCAGCCCTGTTCCCTTACCAGCTTCTACAACTGAAGATGCCCCTGCTGATGCCGATGACCAAGAAACCGTGGCTCAGTCAGCTGCTACACGGCCCAAGAGGAACAGGAGGCCCAACCCGGTGATGTTGGGCCCTGAGTGGCGTGCATGAGCGATATATATATATGTAAGGAGAGAGAGGAGACAACAACAAAATTGTAAACTCTAAACTCTAATCAAGGACTCGTCTGACATTCTTCCCCTACTGTTCATCTTCTTCCCAAGTTGCTACTCCCCCTACTCTCCTGCTATCAGCTTGGCGACGACGTCGCCATGCCAGTGCGCCTCGGGCGCCGTCCGAGCGAGGCAGAGCGGGCCGACGGGCCAGGCCCTCGGACCGACGGGCCGGTTCCAGTGCTGGATGTAGTGGCCCTCCATGGCGTCGAAGGTGTTCACGATCAGGGCGGGGCTGTTGGCTATGGCGTACCCGACCTTGGCGTCTATCTCGCGGATCGACCCCGTCGTCGCCGGGTCGTTGAAGGGGAACGGGATGTCGGCGAGGGTGAGCTGGACGTGGGGGAACTCCGGCACGGTGAACACTGCGTCGTCCGGAGTGGTGGCGCGGGGAGCAAGACCACGACGGCGCGTCGGCAGGGGGCCGCAGGGCGGCGAGTGCCTCCTCGAACCGCGGCCGCAGCTACGGACTCGACGAAGGCCGGCAAGGAGGACAGCGAGTCGAGGGCCTCGATGCACTCCGCGCGCGGTGGGGCGCCTGAGTAGGTCAGGTTGTCGGTGAAGGGGAGCTCCACGATGGCCACGCCGTCGGCGCCGGCCAGCGCGGCGCGGACGAACGCCGCGTTGCCCGGGGTGGCGAGGAAGGTGACGGTGGCCAGCTGCCGGCGTCGGAGCAGGTGGGTGAGGTCCGTGAGCGGGATGGTGTGGCCCTTGGCCATGAACGAGAAGATGACGATGTGGGGGAGCTGAGCCTGTGCGTCATGGGCTCCGCCGCAAGATAACGTAGGGGCAGGTGCAGGAGCTGAAGACGCCATGAGACTCCGCAGTTTCCGCGGGGAGCTGGTCGCTGTGAGGCTGTGAGTGTGAGGTACCTTTTCTGGTGCGGAGCTGTTTCAGCAAATGGTGCAGTTTTTCAATGGATCAGATCATTCATCTCCACCTCAGTGGAACATTAAACCATTTACTCAAAATTTCCTGAATTGCTCATCAATCAGGAATTGGAAGATGTCGAAAATTAACAGGAGACTGAATAAAACAGCACACTCACTAGCTACGCAAGCTTTCAGATCAATCAGTGATGAAAGCAATCATGTAAACATTATGTGTTCCAACTGTAACCATGTTTCCGGCTGCCCTACTAAAGAGGCACTGCAATCTGTAATCTGGGAACCTTTTATTCCTCTTGCAGCTTCATGCTGCTAATAATAAAATTTCTGCCTTTTATCAAAAAAAATGGCGAAGCAAATTATCGTGCTGATCATCTTAACACATGAACGGGATCCGCATAGCGCGGCATATTTCTTATATTTTTTTTTGACTGGGCATCAGACCATATACCATTTATATTAATCAAAGTCAAAGAGAATATTACAAGCGGCCTGAGAGCCACAAACAGACAAGAATCAAAACAAGGAAAAACTGTACAGAGCCCGAACTAGGAAATAAGAGCTAGGAAGAAGAGTCGCCAAGGATTTTGCGCCTACAGCTGCAAGGCATCAGGTTCTTGCCTCATCTTTAATTTGTTCGAATGTAGTTCAGCATTAGATTCTCTTTTTTCAGTCAAAAGTGCCGACATTTCTTTCCTTTTAAGTCCCCTTTCGAACGTGCTCTAGGAAACCTCTCTGTTTCTGTCTTTTCTTTGAAAATGAACCGATCCTGTAAATTTCTGTACAATTTGTACGAAATTCCTGCGTTGCAAGGGGTCCTAAATCTTCATACGACGAGGAGGAAGTGAAGCACTCTTGTTCAGCGTTCCGACAGCTGATCCAATTGATATCTTCCGCTCTTTTTATCGAATTCGACTGCGACCATGATCAGGGTTGTAATTTTGTAACCGTATAAAGAGCGAGCGAGGAGGCCAAGCACCCCCCAAATCCACCTCAAGTATCGGCAATCAACGAGAAGACGGTCGACGCTTGTCGGCAGAGCACGCGGATTGCCGCGGAACTGTATAGTTTATATCAGAGGTTCAGACTCCAAACCTGGTTTCAGATTAATAGCTTTATTTATAGGATGTACCCCCAGGTGTCTTTGGATCGTTGCTAGAGGAAGCTAGGCCTAATTTTGGCTGGGCTGCACTGGTTTGCTGCTAGCTTGCAGCCCAGGGCGTAAAAGTCAGCAAGGAAAGGGCAGGCTAGACGACGCCCTCAAGGCGTTCGGCGAATCGCCGAACCAGTGCTGCCGTGCGTTCGCGCTTGTGCGCGACGTCGCCGGCAAGGATCACTTCATCACGAGCAACACCAGGTCAGGTGTGCGGGGGTTCCAGACGAGTTGGCAAGGCGAGGCGCTCGGCCGCCAGCCGCTGCGGTGTGTGCGCGAGCATCGCGCGTTTGCTGGTCTGCGCACCTTGCGTGCGTGGGCTCGCGCCCCGGTCTATGTGCTTGCGAGTGGACAGCAAGACAGACACCGTGCTGCGGTAGTGTGCCGTGCACGGGGTCACGTGGAAGAACATGTTGGCGCAAGGCGGCGATACATTTGGAAGGGCGGTCCGCGGTATGCAGTTTCAAGCTTTTGGCAGGGGCAATCTGCTGCTCATCAATTGGCCTGGAAACACGAGGTCACGAAAAGAGGCGCCGCGACGTGACCGCTCCTCGCTCCGCTGCCGCTGCTGTCGAACCTAGGGTCCCTCTTCGGTCCGTCTGCCGGAGAAAAGGGGAGGAAACCCATCTTCACTACGCCGATTCCCTCTGCAGGAACGGGGGCATTTTTTATCGTAGGGGTAGCTAGGGTTGGGGCCGCGCCTACAGTGGATATCCTCGGGCTCCAGCAGCCCAGCCGCCCTTACAGATGGCACTGTAGGGGCGGCTGGTAACTTGAGCCGCCCCTACAGTTGGGACTGATCTGTAGGGGCGGCTCAATCATCAGCCGCCCCTGCTGTGCCCATTTGTCGTTTTTTAAAATTTCAAATTTAAAAGGTTCAAATTTTGTCAAATGACAAGATGACTAAAATAAAAGTTGTAGATATTAATGAGTTGAACAACTTTGGTATTCATCACTTTTTATGTTGAAATCATTTTGGATCTCAAATTTTGGTTCGAACTTATCATTTTTTAAAATTTTAAATTTGAAAGGTTCAAATTTAGTCAAATGGCAAGATAACCAAAATAAAAGTTGTAGATCTTGATGAGTTGAACAACTTTTATATTCATCACTTTTACATCAGAAATCATTTAGGGTTTGAAAATTTAGTTTGAACTTGTCAAATTTTAAATTTCAAATTTTAAAATGTGTAAAATATTGTCACATCCAAGTTTGATCAAACTTAAATGCTGAAGCATGATTTTAGATATTTTTAGGAAGAAAAACCATCACATTTGAAGTTAGTATGAGGGAGAACAACTAGTTACAAAGTTTACCTACATATTAAAAAGAGAAATAACACTGTTCTAGATGATCCTTACATGATCATAGTGAACAGTGTGATTTCTTTTTTTAATATGTGGGTCAACTTTGTAACTAGTTTTTTTTTTCTCATACTAACTCCAAATCTGATAATTTTTTTTCTAAAATTTTCTAAAATCATTCTCTATCAATTTATTTTATTGTTTTGTCAATATATACATATGAAAAGTTTGAGCAATTTAAATTTTAAATTTCAAAAAAATGCAACTTCAAACAAGATTTTGGTACCCCAAATAATATCAGCTGAAAAAGTGATAAATACCAAAGTTGAATAACTTATCAAGATCTACAACTTTTGTATTGCTCATTTCTTCATATGACAAAGTGGTAATGACATTGTTCACAAATGTGACACATTCCTAGTAAGGTTTTAAAAACTATATGAGACATGTGTAAGATTAGTGAACAATGTGGGCTAAAAATTATCAAATGAAGAAATAACCAAACTAAAAGTTGCATATATTCATGAGTTGAACAACTTTGGTATTCATCACTTTTTATGTTGAAATCAATTTGGGTCTCAAATTTTGGTTCGAACTTGTCGTTTTTCAAAATTTCAAATTTGAAAGGTTCAAATTTTGTCAAATGACAAGATTACTAAAGTAAAGTTGTAGATATTAATGAGTTCAACAACTTTGGTATTTATCACTTTCTATGTGGAAATCATTTTGGATCTCAAATTTTAGTTCGAACTTGTCATTTTTCAAAATTTCAAATTTGAAAGGTTCAAATTTTGTCAAATGACAAGATAATCAAAATAAAAGTTGTAGATCTTGATGAGTTGAACAACTTTTGTATTCATCACTTTTATATCTGAAATCATTTAGGGTTTAAAAATTTTGTTTGAACTTGTCAAATTTCAAATTTTAAAATTTAAAATGTGTAAAACATTGTCACATCCAAGTTTGATCAAACTTAAATGCTGAAGCATGATTTTAGAAATTTTTAGGAAAAAAACCATCACATTGGGAGTTAGCACGAGGGAGAATAACTAGTTACAAAGTTTACCCACATATTAAAAAGATAAATCATACTGTTCTATATGATCCTTACACGATCATAGTGAACAGTGTGATTTCTTTGTTTAATCTGTGGATTAACTTTGTAACTAGTTTTTCTTCCTCATACTAACTCTAAATCAGATGATTTTTTTTCTAAAATTTTCTAAAATCATTCTATATCAATTTATTTTGTTGGTTTTGTCAATATATACATATGAAAAGTTTGAGCAATTTAAATTTTGAATTTAAAAAAAAATACAACTTCAGACAAGATTTTGGTACCCTAAATGATTTCAGCTGAAAAAGTGATAAATACCAAAGTTGAATAACTCATCAAGATCTACAACTTTTGTATTGGTCATTTCTTCATATGAAAAAGTGGTAATGACATGGTTCACAAATGTGGCACATCTCTAATAAGGTTTTATAAACTATATGAGACATGTTTAAGATTAGTGAATAATGTATGCTAAGAATTTGTTAAATGAAGAAATGACCAAAATAAAAGTTGCATATATTCATGAGTTGAACAACTTTTGTATTCATCACTTTTTATGTTGAAATCAATTTGGGTGTCAAATTTTGATTCAAACTTGTCGTTTTTCAAAATTTTAAATTTGAAAGGTTCAAATTTTGTCAAATGACAATATGACTAAAATAAAAGTTGTAGATATTAATGAGTTGAACAACTTTGGTATTCATCACTTTTTATGTTAAAATCATTTTGGTTCGAACTTGTCATTTTTTAAAATTTCAAATATAAAAGGTTCAAATTTTGTCAAATGACAAGATGACCAAAATAAAAGTTGTAGATCTTCATGACCTCTACAACTTTGATGTTTATCAAATTTTCATTTGAGATCATTTGGTGTCTCAAAATTATTTTTATAGTTTGATTTGATTTCATACAATGATCCACATCTAGCGCAAGGCTCATCATCTGGGCCGTCCACCTCGCGATCGGACGACGGGGATAGAGTCTATATCACACGACGAGGAGGGGGCCGCCTGGAAGGCGGTCACGGCATGGCGCGGCCTTGTGAGATACAATGAACCCCATCCTAGCCCTCTCCTTACGCCCATGCGCTCGCCTTTCTCCTCCTCCCCCCGTTCCGCCTCTCGCGCTCGCCATCCTCCCCAGGCGCACCACCAAACCCCCAGCGGCAGCACTAAGGTTTGCTTCTCCGCGCGTCGGCACCGCAACCTCCGCCTCGGGCGGCGGTGAGCGGGGCAGGAGTGTAGGACAATCGATCTGGAGGAGGGATGGGCGGTCATGCAGAAGGGCATCACCAAGCTGAAGAACATCCTCGAGGGCAAGCCAGAGCCGCAGTTCAGCTCCGAGGACTACATGATGCTTTACACGTACGTCTCCCTCTCCCTTCCCTCCTCCTCCTCGCCGTCATCGCCTTCGC